GCGGCATGGGCCAGTGAGTCGTCCTCTCTGTGCAGAGATAGCTGACAGAAGTTCCCTTGGACAGCCTTGGCGAGAGACCAGAATGCACGGGTTCCCGAAGGAAGGCAAACTAGCTTCTCGCCAATTCTGCCGATGTGTTCAGACCTTGCCTTGGCAATGACGCTTTTGAAGGACCTGGAGGCGGAATCATACTTTTTTTAAGAGCGCTGGTGTTTACATCCCGAGATGTTGATGCGTCAGCCCAGGCCCGGTAGCACTCCTGCTTATAGCGTGATGCTATTTTACAGGAGCGGCCCAACCATGGCTGGGATCTGCCACCGATGGGCACCATAGAGGATGGAATAAAAAGTTCCATAACCTGAAGTACCACATCAGCAACAGAATCGGCAACAACGCTGGGATCTTTCGGCGAGAAGCAAACCCGCCCCCAAGGGTAGGATGCAAAAAAAGACCGCATCCCGTCCCAATCAGCTGATATATAGTGCCAAACACGGCGGCAAGCTGCAGATCGTAACTGCGATTGGAGCGTGAGTGGCACCGTACTCCGGATCAGACAATGGTCCGAAGAGCCCAGAGGGGCATCGACGGAGACCTGATATCCGTCCGGATGAGAGGTCAGGAGAAGGTCCAACAGGGAAGGTACATGGTCTTCCACATCTGGGATCCGCGTAGGCGAAGTAACCAGTTGTGTTAGACCATATGCCAAAGCAAAGTCATAGCAGATCTATCCGCATGATCGGTTAAACGAAAACCAAGCCATTCAGCGTGATTGGCGTTAAAATCACTAAGTACCACGATCTCTGCGGATGGGACCTGTTGTAGCACAGAGTCTGCAGCTATTTGGACGTGGTCGATGAGTCGGTCTGTGTCGGCATTACCGCTATGGGACCTATAGAGGCACCCGTAGACGCGGGTATGGTCGTCGCTGTCTACGCGCAGCCATAGGGTGGACAGGTCCGTACCTTTAAGACTGCCGAGGCGTCGAAAATAGATGTCCTCTCTGACGTATACGCAAACTCCAGCCCGGGGCACAAAGGAGTGTTCCAATTTGTGCCCCGGGTAGGAGAGATATGAAGTATCAGCCGGAGAGGACACCTGAGTCTCGGTTAAAAAGAGCAAGGCCTGCTTCGCCGTCTAGTCTTTTATTTAATTCCACTGCCATGTTGATGGGGGGGGGGGGGGGGATTGGGCCTCCGGCCACCTGCACTCACCAAGCGCAACACAGAGGTAAACCTCTACTTCACACTGGTATTCTGTGAGGTCGTGGTACCACCCCGGTTTGAGCTGGCCCAAACGTGCGACAGCAAAAGCTACCGCTTAGCTCTACCACTGATAATTATATTACTATTAGTAATATTGAAAAAAATAAAACCCCAAGCTAATGTAGAAGATGTGAAAAAGAAAATTAATACCCTAAGATCACAGAGTATTTCAAATCAATATTTAATATTCCTCCCAGTAGCAAGATATCGTAAAGTTACTGCCAATTCCTCCTCTGGGCTGATTGACTTCCTCATGCAGGAGTCTTGCTTAGTTAGGTATGATTTTACCATTTGCAACAAAGGATATAAACAAGCTTCTTTCATTCGATAATAATTAGCATAGTCTTCTTCTTCTCCTGTGTCTCATCTCATTCAGTAAATTTAAGTGTGTATAGAATTCTCGTTTCATTAGCCAGTTTTTGCATCGCTTTGTTTTCTTACGATTACTCAGACAGGACTAATAATAAATTGTGGTGAGCCCATTCTCCATACAAAAATAAATTGTCTCCTTTACAATATAGGTTTTTAGGGGGGTTGAAAAATCCTCTAATTTTTTGGAAAATTCGTCTCCGTGTTTTCACGCACATCTCAACAAACTTTATGTATCCGCGCTGTAACAATTAGGTAGCGTAGATCTACCACGCCGGAGTGTGCGTGATTGATTTCTGCAATATGGTCAGGCGTTTTTAAGTAGTGTTAATTTACTGTTCCTTACTATTCTAACCCACAGTGCCTAACAAAAAGGCAAAAATAAATTATTATAGACTTATAACAAAACGTTTTACTTGCAGAGTTACGTAAATTTTTAAACACTTTAACCGTGAGGTCAAAGCTCTTGCCGAAACCTATTTAATACGTTTTCTTATAAAAATACTTAAGTAGTCATATATAATTTATAATATGTTTATTTATATGTCACTAGTTTCTACGAAACGCTCAAAGGATTTGTATGAAATTTTGTACTCAGATAATGTTTTGCACACAGCACAGGACTAATGGCTTTACGTGTTCGAGTCATGGGTTGAAACACCGCCAACTTCCTGTTTGCTGCTACTGAAAATTTCTTGACGGAAACACCCAACAACTGATTTTAGCCCGATCCGGGATTTGAACTTAGGATCAGCAGTCGCGCTTACGACCACTAGACCAACAAGGTAGTCAGGAGTATGAGACTAGTACTGTTACCAAAAATGCCTGTAGAATACAAGTGTGTCCCATAAAGTTGTCATTTAATAAACTAACATGAATTCCCACTACTTTACCAGGTCAAAATACAATGTAGTAAAGAATTTACCCCTCATTGGAAATTTATGACCCTACTAGATTTTATATTTTATAAGAAATGTTTCAGCTTTTAAAAGGTATGTTGATGACTATTTCTTTCAGCTGAACGTATTTTTGGGTTTGTTCAGAGGAATACCTTTGTTGCTTCAAAAATCGCTGTATCCTCTGCTTCGGGACAAGGGAATACCTTACCTTTTCTCCAGCCTCCTATCACCAGCAGCAACGACATGTTGCGTATATTAAATACAACAATATTTTTGTTATTATTAATTATTAAACCACTGTTATAATGCCCTAGTAAGAATGTATCTCTGACAATAAATAATAGGACTTATTTCTAATTCTGTAAGCTTGCTAAGCAAGTGTTTAGGACAGTATATCCACAATTGGAAGTAGTGTTAATCTTGACAAATGAAAAGAGAGTGGGTGAATCAATAAGGGAATAAATAATTTTTAAAAAGATATATTATGCCATCATATATAGCCTAGTTTGTACTATGACTAAACTAGTTTGTATTACTAATACAAGTGCCAAGTGTGCTGCCTGCTTGGTGTATGACTGTTCACAGGTAGGCACTTATAAGAAATATTAAAGTAAGTAGCCTATACTATATTATATATGGAGCAAGAAGTCCACTGTGAATCCCATGTGTGTTTGTGGACTTTACATCACTTTGAAATAACTATAAAAAATATTTATTTTATCTATTTGTTAGTGTTGATAAAAAAATTACAATAATTATAAACTCTAAAAGTACAAAGGTTGATAGAAATGGGTACATAAAGATAGTACAAAATTATAATTAACAATTTTCTTATGTGGATGACATTATGATATAGACAAAGTGATTTAAATCAAGCTTATGAGGAAGCTCAAAGTAGATTTGCAAGGTATGCTATAAAAGCTATGGGTGCAGCTATGTACTCAGTGTTTTTACTAGCTTAATGGGTCAGTAAGCTGAAAAGAAAATAGGCTGGCTATACAGCTTGAAGAACCAACAAATCAGCTGTGGTACAAAGATGGTCAAGTGCAATATTGTCTTTCACAAATAAGTTATTTTTAAATGTTACTTTCAGTAATGGTAAAGTAAATTAGTTATTTTTATCGCATAAAATTCTAATATTATTTATCATCATAATTATTATTATAGCCATCGGATATTCACCAGCTGAACAAAGGTCTCCTCAAAGGCTACCTTAGAACATGGTTCTCAACCATTTATAACCATCAACCTCCCGCATGTCTTAACAAAATGTCACTCCAATAAGTAGGTGGCTGCCAAAAACTTAACTTACAGAAATGTGTCTGCCACTGAAGGAACTTACATACCAATCAGTTGTCAGTTCTACGAGGTATATGGCAAGCACATTGCTATAATATATGATTTTATGACTTTGATTTTTTTTTAGCTTTAGATTTTAATCCTTATTATAACTAGATGTGGAATAATCAACTAGGCTGCTTGGGTGAGTAGAAATCAAGAACAAATACCATTGCGACATTTTAATCTGTATTCAAGTTAACAATGCAGGGAAAAATATTTTAAGTTTTTTTTTAGGATAGGGTGACAAATGAATGTGTATTCATATCAGTATCAGTCCACCTGATGGTAAGTGGTTACTGTGACCCATAGACATCTACATATATCCTCAATAAAGAATCGAAATGCAGATGCATCGTCACCCGTGAGGACTAAGATGGAATGCCTCTTTTCCAGTAAAATGGGTCTCCAGTTCTCTACACTAACCATACAAAACACAGCAGTGTCAAGCTGCCATTTTACACTGGTATTTTGTGAGAGCGTGGTCCTTCCTCGGTCGAGCCGACCCATTCGTGCGTCGACTATACTATTAATATAGCTGTAGCATGGCTCTACCACATACAGAGTAGTAATTAGAATATTCAACAATACTGTCGAGATTTCTAAAAATTAATTAAAACTTCTGACGTAGTTATAAGATTATTGTTGATGAAGAAGGTAATTGAAAACAATTTTACTTGGACGTCAGTTGGTCCATATAGATGTGAACAAGATATTTTACGAAAAACTGATTTTATGACTTTGATTATTTTTATTAGCTTTAGATTTTAATCCTTAGGAAGCGTTTTGAATTTCACTATTGTAAACCGTCCCATTCGAAGTGTGCACTTATGGATTTTCCAAATATTTGTTTTATAATTACATTTGCAAAAAATTATATCAAAACAGACATTGTACATGTGTACACATGACACACATTGTACACAGAAGTACTAATTTGTATTTGTCATTTTTCCATGGGGAATATTGTGTGATATGGGCATTATTTAAGGACAAGACAATAAAGATAATGTGTGGTTCAAAAAAATCTTAAATTTTATACTAAGTGGAACATAACACATATTACATTGTCTATTAATAAAAATATAATAAGTGAAAATATTTGTTACGAAGCAGGTTTAAAAAAACTTACTTTCAATTTTAATGTGGCCAAATTGTCATAAACTAGCTTCATACGACGCCAATCGAATGTTGCTTTCTTTCTGTAAACATCCAAGGGGCCTGATGGCAAATCCGGGAAAAAATCCTTGAGCAGATCGTCCGTTACGGTTTCACTTACATTTAACTTCATTTTATATTTAATGATTTATTTACACTTTCACTAGATCAAAGTAAGTAAGACAATTTTATTTTATTAGGTATTCTTTATTCTTTGGTCAAAGTCTAAACTTATAACATAAAGAGAATGACAGTTATCTTTACGTTAGATAAGAACTTTGAAAAAGAAAATATCCACACGTCTTTTGCGGTCCGCGATCCGTATTGTACAAAATTTTAATTACGGAGAACGGGCGGAAAAATCACAGTTAACGAATAACGATTAAAATATGCGGATAAAGCATTAATGCAAACGATAGCGACCCAACAACAATCGTAGCATGCTGTACATTAATTACCAGATTAATTACTAATTTATTTAATTATTATAATTATAATATATGTATGTAATAGTTTTATTTAATTATCGGACAACAACAATAGGCAATATCATAGATAAATATATATGTAGCAAGCTAGGCAATATGAAAATATTTATTTTGAACTTTATTCTATGTAAATAGATTTTAAATTGCCTTGTTTTCTAAATTGTTTACCAATAACAGGCTTTACGGCTCTGGGTTCTAGCCTTTCTGAGCCAGAAGTTACAATGTATAATTATCCTTCTAGTACACTGCTTCACAATATGTTGATGCGTCACATTGTGCAGCGCTTAAAAGCTTTTGACAGCAACTTGAGCCAGCAGACAGCTGACAGTTGGCAATGGTATCTCAAGGTGCCTAAACAGACAGACCATTATCTTGAGAATCACATCACCACGAGAGCACTTGTTTCACCGTTTCCACTAATAGTTCACACACACAGACAATATCCAAAATCACACCAATTTTACATATCAAAATCTACTTCAAACAATTATTTAAACAATAATACAGGAGCAGCAATCCGCCGCCAGTCAAGTTCCCACCAAAACCCCAATACGTCTAGGAGTAGGCGATACAAATCTTATATATAGTTGCAATATCTATATATCAGTACAATATCCAATATCTATATATCGAACGACAAACCAACTATGTATTAGATATTACGATTTTACGATACCGTGTTGATATGAGTCGTCGCGGAATATCTAATATCTACTCAAAAAGGAAACGAAATATCTAAATAGGTATATACATTGATTCGGATACCGAACAAACCTTGAGCGCGATAGAATATATAGCTAAAACAGATATTACGACTACTTTACAACGAAAAGGTGATACACTTACGCCTAATATTTTTAATATTAATCCTTATTAGTAGTACCATACGATTTATTACAGAACACATCATTTTCAATACCCAGTCTAAGTAGTATAATTTTATTATTATTTTGTTGTGTTGCACTGATTTAAAAATAAACTATTTTAGACCTTATTGTGTATTTAATAGAATGTTATTTTTGGTATGTAAATCGGGACGTCAATCACCTCAGTCCCCCGTGACCACGGTTGCTGGAAAGCAACCGAAACGTCAGGAATATAAAATAAGTTAATTAAAAGCGATAAAATCCGTAAAAATAGTTTTATTCAATCCTTATTTTTAAATATGAATAGCCTAAATTTACATACATACATACATATAATCACGCCTCTTTCCCGTAGGGGTAGGCAGAGACCACTTCTTTCCACTTGCTACGATCCTTACATACTTGTTTCGCTTCGTCCACTTTCATTATTCCCTTCATACATGCTCTTCGGTTTATGGTACTCTTGACCTAGCCTTTTTTCAAGACGTCCTTGATTTGATCTAGAAACATTCGCCTAGGTCTACCCCTTCCAACATTTTCATTCACACTCGCCTTATACAGCTTTTTCGTCAAACGTTCTTCATTCATTCTCTCGACATGGCCAAACCACCTCAGCATACCTTTCTCAATTTTTATTACTACATCTTCTTTCAGACCACAACGTTTCCTTATCTCACTATTTCTTATCCTGTCACTCAGTTTAACTCCTATCATACTTCTTAATGCTCTCATCTCAACTGCATTTATTCTGCTTTCATGTTTCTTCTGCCATACCCAACTTTCACTTCCGTACATGAGTGTCGGAACCAACACCCCCTCATGCACAGCCAAGCGAGCCTTGTTAGACACCTTCCGACTGCTCATAAAGGAGTGCAAAGCTCCATTCACCATGTTTCCTGCATTCACTCTTCTTTCGATATCACTCTCACACCTTTCATCTCTCGTAAACTTTGAACCCAGATACACAAACTCTTTCACCTGTTCAATTTGTTCATCTCCAATCACAATATTGCAGTTTGTTACTGCCTCATCTCTTTCAAACACCATCACTTTCGTCTTCTTTACATTCATATTCATTCCCTTTCTAACAATAGCTCCACTCATAGCAGTTACCATCTCCTGCAAATCCTCGGCCGAAGACGCAAGTAGTACTTGGTTATCAGCATAGAGAAAACATTTGACGAGTAACTCATTCATTCTCAACCCACTTTCATTATCTTTTAAATCTGTCAAGCAATTATCCATGAACAGATTGAACAGCCACGGTGACGCTACACATCCTTGTCTAACACCTTTTTCGATATTAAGCCATTCAGTGTATGCCCCGTTTATCCTTACACAAGCATTAAAATCCCTATAATGAGAATACAATGCTCGTATGAGGATACTGCTCACACCGTTATCGTACAATGCCGACCACAATTCAGTCCTCACCACTCTATCATAGGCCTTTTCTAGATCCACGAACGCGCAATAGATCTTCTTGTTTTTAGCCAAACACTTTTCCGCTATGCACCGCAAGGAAAATACCTGATCTGTACATCCCATTCCCTTTCTAAATCCCGCTTGTGCATCCCATATTTTTTCGTCTGTTTTATTCACAACCCTTTTAATCAGCACTTTCGCATACAATTTACCGACGACGCTGAGAAGGCTTATACCGCGGTAAAATATGCAGTCCTGCCGTGACCCTTTTCCCTTATACAATGGCACGATTACGGCTTTGCACCAGTATCCCGTTACTTGCCCATTTCACCAGCACAAATTGAAAAGGCGGTACAGCTGACTAGCCACTCCACACGACGGTAATCCTGTCATACCCTGCAGCGTTACCTAATCTCACACTTTTCAGCGCTTTCACTATTTCATCCATACTTATTTCATTTTCATTAACATTTATATTGGTTTCCATGGTGCAAGATGCTGTACCTGCACTTCCACTCTTTCAAACAAACTTTCGAAATACTCTTGCCATCTCTTTAATACACTTTCTTCTTCTTTTATAATGCTCCCATCTTGACTCCTGATTGTACTCAGCTCCGAGGTAGAAGTTTTGATGGATTTCCAGAAAAACTTAATGTTTGACTGGAAATCTTCAGTGAGCCTCCTATCGAAATCATTCTTTCGTTCTTCCTTCTTTCTAGACACAACTTCTTTTGCTACTGATTTCAATCTTTTATACTTCGTTCTTGCTTCTTTCATCTCGTCATCCGTTGCCTTTTCAACTTTTTGGTTTGCTTTTGTTGCTAACCAATCCAACCACGCTTTCTTCTTTTCTTGCACAACCCTTTGTACATCTTTATCCATCCACACATTATAGTTCTTTTTTCCTTTCCTTTTTTTAGCTACCCCGCATAAAAATGAGTAAAAAATACTTTGTAATAGCGCCACATACTAGATTCTATATGTAAAGTGATTTTATCAAACAAAAATTGATTAACTCTCAAGGTGGTACGTACAATACTCAAGAAACTTTCCCCTCATCCATTGTCCGTTCTTTAAGTGCCCTTCAGCCTACTAATCCACTGACCTATATGTGAATTTTTTTATAGTGTAAGGGGCAAATGAGCATGCGGCTCTCCTTGCAGAGGTTTTCAAAGCACAGCAGTTTCATCGTTCGATTAATGACTTTTGTTAAGATTAAAAAAATAAATAAATTAGATTAAAATCAACAATTTATGAAAATCAATAGAAGTTTTATTTTATAGAAACGTGACAAACAACAACAATCTAATAGTGTTGTTAATACATTTTTATTACTATTCTATGCCAGTGCCATCTGTTGATAAGTGTGCTGCAGCCGATAATGCTGAAGTACACTGACTTAACAGAGGCCTTTTGACTCTTGCCTTGAATACAAACACATTGTTATGATAGAAAGACAGATGCTGGCAACTTATACTTCTCCATTGCTGTATGCTTGACGAACAATGTAATAAACAATTTTAATCAAATACGTGGTAAATAGACAACTCCACCCGTTCGTTGTCAGTTATCCGACTGTTATCCGACGCGCAAACTCTCCAAAAAGTTTTGCATTTTTATGCCAATTTCCCACTTACTTTACCATGACAACTATTTTTTTTTTTGGAGTAAACTCATAGAATACCTGATATCGACCGTCCAGTGCTATGATCACCTCCATGATATGCATCACTATAGTACTCTAAATTATTGCACTTACTCGAACTCTTGTAAAATATAGTTATTTTCAAATATCGCCTTATACGTTTTACCTTAGCCACAATTTCCGCTGTAGGATTATCCAAATTTCGTGACACAACTCCGTGTCTGAAATTTGGATACCCTAGATTTCCAGTCATTAGATAAGTTAAGGAACCCATGACTTGACGATAAGGGAATGATAATTTTGGATTTGTTTCATTGTTGAAATTGTCATTGTCAACAAACTTCGTCATCGGTGTAGCAGCTGGTGTACAGTCCTTCATATCAAACCGTTTAAATACTCATTCTGTAAATCCCTTTTGATCAATTTTTATGGTTCCATCTATTTTTCTATCTATCTCAATACCGAGAAAAAACAATGCAGCTTAAAAATATTTTTTATTTATATTTAAATATATTTTTAAAATTTTCCGCAACTCACCCATAAAACAGTCTATTTCATTTAAATTTGTTGCTGTAACTAATCCATCATGGCAGAATTTAATAACCTTGCTCTGCTACCATATGAAGATTTAAAACGTATAAATTAGTTTTAGGAAATTAAAAAAGTAAATGCCTTTGTACGCCGATGATCAAGTCATATTGGCGTCGTC